GATTTTTAATGCTTGATACTTGTTATTTTTTTATATCTATAAGCTAATTTGCACCAAAAAAGTGACAAAAAATTCAGAGTTCAGGAGATTTAATATTTATAAAAACATGTAAAAGCTGGGCGACGTGGTGGCGCAGTAGGTAGTGCTGTCAGCGCACAGCAACAAGGTCACTGGTTCAAGCCTCGGCTGGGTCAGTTGGCATTTCTGTGTGCATGTTCTCCCCGATTAATAAAGGGACTAAGCCGAAAAGTAATGAATGAATGTAAAAGCTCGGGGTGGCATGGTTTGCACTCTTGCCTCACAGCAAGAAGAGCACTGGTTCGAGTCCTGGGTGGGCCAGTTGGCACCCCTGATAAATGAGAGACTAAGCCAAAGAAAAATAAATGAATGAATAAATAAATGAATTAATGTAAAGCTTGCAGTTGGTCACCTAAATGGTATAACGATATTATTCACGTCACCACATACTTCAGGTTCTCATAAAAATATGACCAATCAAATCTGACGTGCATTTGAGCTTAACCACCCATACAGGCAGAGCGATGATAAAACGGAACGCGTTTGCCTGTTTTTTTAAATAATTTTTTTAAGAGGAGGAGCCACACTATGTCCCACCATATCTTCATTTTTGTTGAGATTTTCAAACATCAAATAAAAAAGCAGTTAATAACTCTTCACGGGACCTGCAACATATGTATTAAAGTTTAATTTAAATGTTTTTTTAAACAGTTCTAAATTCTTCTCTTACAGAGAAACCATGTTTCACGTGTTCAATGTATTTCACGTGATTGCATGTGCTTTTTTGAGTAAGCACATGGGAAGTACATTGTTGTTGTTTTTTTATAGCACAAATTTGCATGATATTAATTCGTAAGATAACATAAATGTTGATGAAGTCAATATGTGGTCTGCTTCTTTAGCTCCCCAACATGGAGGATGGTGTGTTGGTTCATGGGATGTTCATGGACGCCTGTCGCTGGGATGACACAAGCATGGTAGTTGAAGATGCACTTTCGAGGGTAATGAACCCTATGCTGCCTGTGGTTCATTTCGAACCTCAGCAAAACTATGTTCCTGAGCCAAGCCTCTACCACGCACCACTGTATAAGACCTCTGCTCGAGCTGGAACTCTCTCTACCACAGGTACAGTCATGTGTCATTTAATCAGATATCCTACTAAATAAAAAATATTTATGTACAAAACTGTAACTATAAATTTATTTTTGAACACAAATGCTATATATATATATATATATATATATATATATATATATATATATATACATGTACATATATATACATATATATACATGTATGTGTATATATATATATATATATATATATATATATATATATATATATATAGCAATTGTGTTAAAAAAATTATAGTTAGTTTTGTATATAAATATTTATTTGTACATAATAATTATAAATATAACATGCTACCCACTGCGCCACTGCGTCGCCCCTTTTATATATATATTCCGCTGTGGCGACCCCAGATTAATAAAGGGACTAAGCCGACAAGAAAATGAATGAATAACTGAATGAATGATACTGTAAATATATAAGGGGTGCTCCGATCAGGATTTTTGAGGCAGATGATACCATGTATCAACTCCCTGTCATCATGATTGACCGATACAAAGTACTGATTGCGATGCTTTATGCTTTATAATGCATAAAGCACATTTTCCCTCAACGTATGATAGTTGAAAGTTGAGATCTCACCTTACCTAAGAGAATAAATAATGTTGCATATAATTCCTAAAACATGTCTCTTATAACCATTTAGTGTAGCCATGGTCAGAAGCAGCTTTACAGAGCAAAATAGATTTAAAAATGATTGACTGCAATTTAGAACCACTGCAAATTATGAAATAACCATTTAAAGAGCCCATATTATGGGTTTTTGAAAATTCCCCTCCATGTAGTGTGTAACACAGCTCTAAGTGAAGTGAAGTATCCAGCTAAGGCTTAAATCTGTAAGAATACAGTGTTTAAAACTGTTGATTCATCTATAAAAGAGTCGAATCATAGTGCTTCAAACGAGTCGCCTTGATACCGACTCATTAGGTGTTTCGCCATGACGTACGAACGAAACAAAGTTTTTCACGTGCACGCGCAAACCCGGGAGATTTCAAACCTGAGGCCCCGCCCTCTGACGCAGTAACCCAGACACACACACACACACACCCACAAACACACGCACACCCACAAACACACGCACACAAACATGCCGGTCGATTGAAGTCACACTGCAGATGGATATATTGAGTCTCTACCCAAAGATGAAACATCAGCATTATAACCAAGCAGTTGGAAACTTCTGGAAGCTACATGCTACAAAGAATACTTCATCTGAGTTTGTTAAAGGAAGGATCAGTAAAGAGTAACTGATGGACGTCAGGATGGGTTTCTTCCTACATTTCTCAAGTGTAAGTACGTGCGGTTAAAGTTGTTGCCTCGTTTACTCTAGCTTGCAAATGTATTTAGTTGTGATTTGTTACTTGTAACCGCGTGTACTGTATCAGGTTAACTGGATATATTATCTTATCGCGTGCAAAGTCACGTTAAAAACGCGACGCGTGCTGTTTGTTTATGGAGCTCCGTGCTAGAGTTCTGCTCCCGCGATTTATTCGGAAATGTATTCCCGCGCCGCAGAAATCTGGCGCGGGGAGAGAGAGAGAGAGAGAGAGAGCGCGAGAGAGAGAGCGAACGAACGAACGAGCTCTGTGTACTTTGTGCTGTGTGTGTACAGACAGCTTGGCTGTCTGAACTGTATACTGGGTGATATTTGGTTGTGTTCTCCGCTCTAGCGGGACCGGGCGCGGCGGGCAGAAAACGGAGCGGGTTCTCAGGCTAAAACCTGGCGGGTGCGGGCTGAAGCGGGAGCGTTGTCATCCGGAGGTGTGTGTGTGTTTTTGTGTGTGTGTGGTATGGCGAGTACACGACTGTCTCCTTCGTTCGGTTATCCGTGGCACTATCCACTCGCCATAGTGTGGCAGCTAAAGTCCACGCCTACACTATCGAGCGTGTATGAACTGTGATTACTTTTTAAATTGCTGATTAGCTATTGGCCATTTCCCTCTCTGACTGAAGGCAGTCGACCAATCGCGACAGACTGTCATCGGTCCAATCAGCGCAGATTAGCTCCGCGCTAAGGAGGGGTTTGGGAACAAATGAATCACTGGACGATTCATACAGGAGTCGCTGGGATAATTAGATAAAAATAAATGCAGATTATAAGACCATGAAAGTGTTTTTTGACCTTGCATGCATATTAGACTGTTGTTGGAGACCCTTACAACCAAGATATGACCTTATTTCATGTATAATATGGGCTCTTTAACATGTCTCACTGAAGAAAAAGATGGGAAAGTTAAAATGCACACCTATAACTATGACTTCTTTACTAATTTTTATTTTGTATATTACAAAAAGTTGGATCTAATTTAACCTGTAATGTTTAAAATGTAGATGTACCAATAAACTGTTTAAAAAGAGGTCACACCACATCTGTATATCTTTTAGCTGCTGTGTTGGGAGGACAACCATCGCTCACGCCACACACATCATTTCTTTTCTCACGTTTTTTAGCGCTGCTGGGTGCGCAAGTGTATCCCCTCAGTGTGTAAACCGTTGTAAAATCATAAACAAACACAATCAGTTCATGAGATTGGCCAGATTGCAGAGTACCAATTGAGTTTACAAAATGTGACTATTGGTTGATACATATTTCTAGACGATCGATTAGATACATTAGCATCACTAATGTATTTGAACTCTCAGCAGACCTTAAACCACACTGAACTGAACTAAACTGAATTTTAACACTGAAAACTGATCTACTATGTGAAGCTGCTTTGATACAATCTATGTAAAAGCGCTATAGAAATAAAGATGAATTGAATCGAATAAATATGAATTGCCTTTTATACATGAATATAAAAATCATAAAAATGTCATTTTATTGTGTTTTTTTTTTTTTTTTTCTGTCTATTAGGACACTCCACCAATTTTGTGGTAACTGTGATGTTGCCATCCAACCAGCCCAGTGACTACTGGATCTCAAAAGCCTCTGCACTGCTCTGCCAACTCAATGAATAAGCAAAGCTTTACCTCTCCAGTTCAATTTTAGATCCTTTCTCAAAAAAGCTATTCATTTTTTGAACATAAAAAAACATTTACATCTTAAAAAAAAACCCATTAAAAATGCATTTAAAAACAAAATGAACTGTAGTTTTGATTTTTCTTTCACCAAGCCACAACATATTTCAAAATAAATAGCAAGGTAAGTAAAAATGCTGTTTTAAAAGGTTAAATAAAGAGCTATAATAAATAAACGCCAACTACTCCAAAATACATAGACTCACCCAAAACTTTAAATTGTTTTATTTATTTTTTTTATCTATATTTTCTAACAAAATGACTTATATCCACACTGTTTACATAGTATTTTTACATAATACAACAAAGCACAGGGTCAGTATGGTCACAAAATAATGACACTCTGATTTACGTGGACAAACCGGACACAAGTGAGAGATTAGAACACACTAATAACTGTAATATTAATAGAACACTTCAAAAAAATGAAAGTGACAGTAACAGAGTGTATTAATTCAACCTTTAATGCTATTGTTGCTTTGGTAAGGAAATATTTGTTAAAAATGTAAGGATTTGTTTGTTGGTTCAGTAAAAATGTTCGTACTAAAATAATGTTAAATGGTGCCAAAAATATTACTAAAGAAAACGTTTACGCTTTAAAGGGATTTGGGAATTCATTATGTTTGTTTTTCAGAACACAAACTTCACAGACACATTTGTAGCTGTTGTGACTAACAAAGTTAGCACACAGAGCACATCTTCAAATAAACCAACTCTCAATGCTCGGTCCAGATACAGTATATAAAGACATAAAATATCACCCAAACAGCATGTCCAAGGGTCTGCACGTTTGTTCGAAAAGTCACATTTCAAAAATACACAATTTTTGTTTATTAGTTTCTTTTTTTTTTATATGAATTATTTGTAACAACAGTTCTCGTGGATTTGAGAACGATGAGTAGAGGAAGGATTCAACTTTGGCGGTAGACACTTCTCACACTCAATCACGTGTTTATTTTAATAACTTTAAAAACAACCAGAAAGCCCCCAATGTGCTCCTATCACAATTATGTAAAGTCTTTTGAAACTGCCTCGATGAAATTTGGTGCGGACATGAGAATGGTAAAAGTGCAGATGATAGAGAAGAGTGAAAATGCCACCAGACAGAGCCGATCCACGACTGCCGCAGCAAATTTCCACTCGCTGCAAATGGCTTCGGCTTCATCCTGGTCACGGAATCGCTGAGCGATGTACATCACTTCCGCCAGGATGCGATGGATCTCTGGTTCACCTGCAAACATCCTCACTCCCTCTCGCTGTTCTTCGTTTGGTGATCCACCAACTCGTCCACCGCTGCAAGACACGCCGGAGTCACTGCTGGGTGGACAACAGGCGCTGTCAATGGAGTGGTAGCCAAAGTACAGGTTCATATGGCCATTTGTGGTGGAGTTGGTGGAGGAAGGTTGACCAGGCATGACCCCCATCTGAATACTGCTGGCACTAGCATGGTGTGCAGGAGACTGGTCATATTTGAAGTTGGCTTTACGTTCCTCACCTGGTTTCTTCATGCGCAAGAACCAGGCACACCAGTTGAGCAGAATCACACGCACCTAAGAAGAACAAGGAGAATTTACTGAAGATAAAGCTCTCTAATGGATTACCAATACATTTGATGATAGTACTGATATGCTGTATAAAGTCAGTTTGTTTCATTCAATTACCGGAGAAAATGTCCACTAAAGATTCCTAGGTTTAAAAATTCTGAGCTCCTAGCAGCAGGTGCGTCCCACTGGACATGAACCAAATAAGAAACACCAGACAGAAGTAGCTAAGAGCTCTTTTCTTCTCGTATGAGTAGACATTAATGTTTGATGCAAATAGACCTGATTACCTCTCCAGTGGGCCAACTGCACTGCAGTCATTCTACAACTCAAACCTATTGTTTATTCAGAGTGTTTTCTTAGAATGTTTTCAGCAGCAGTTTTTTAAAGATGGATTTTTTGTGGATGGAATCAGTTTTATAAGTAAACATTACATCATCCCTTATAGTTTGTATTGTTCTGAATGTTTTATGAAAAAGTCTGTATAGTGTGCTACACGTCAAGTGAAATGTAAAATGTTTTTTTTTTTTTTTTTTTTTTTTTGTCACAATTTGCAGTCTAAAGTTGTTGATTACTTGCTGATGACTAGTTGCAGAAAGCCTGTGTGATTTAAAGGGCATCTATGGTGAAAAATCTTTGGACAGACATGTGTAGGTATAGTGTATAGACTGTCATATTGGGGTGATATAAACACACCCAGTCATTTTTTTCAATTTACCAACATAAAAACGGTGGACCATTGGGATCGGTTTTGAGCCAACCGCAAGTTGACGTAGAAGTGCGTTCACACTGCAGCATGCAGTGAATGCAACGTATTGAGATTCGGGCCATTAAAAACAGCTGATCCACTGAGTCTTTCAGCACTCTCTCCGAAAACACTGGATTGATCTCGGCTGGTGGATCAACATTCACCAAATGATCGCTCTCATCTGCGCCATTATTTGTAACTTTAGGTAGGTTCGCAAAAGTGTACTTTTCATTGCGTCTTTCTTAAACTTTAGCTGTTTGCATTTCCCGCGGCCACAGAAGCTCCCTCTCATCTCAACTATGTGCGGCTGTAAAGCTTGAGCGAGTTGCCTCACATGCGCGCCCCTCCATTGGAAATAACAAACTTGCCTTAGTCATAGCCTCAGTCAAAGTTAATGCAGTGTGCGTGGTTATTAGTATCGGTGTACAAGATCTGAACTTTAAACTAGCACACAGTTGGCATAACTTTGTTTAGTTGCCGCCGTTTTGTTCCTTGCAGAAACACCGTGTTAAGAAGCCTTTATAATTAATTAATTGTGACAAATTAAAGCATGGTTAATAGTGAAACCAGTTAATCATTACATCCCAATACAGAAGACGCATGCATTGTTGCAGCTGTAAAACTATAAAAAGACACAAATGATTCTGTAACTACCATTCTGACACATTCTGGCACACTAGGAATATTGATTCCTCAAGAGTAGTCTCTGCTTGGTCTGTGTCTGAGTACATCTACGGCTGAATGCTGGTCCTCTCACTCATGTTGCTTTTCTCTTTGTCTGCCTGTCTGATGACATACACAAAGCAGGGGAGCTTCTGGCTCTGCCTCCTTGTTAAGTTGGGGGGGAAGTTGAAACTAATTTTAATTTGAAGCAGCACACCTCTAAAACACTGACCTGTGTATACACCCACAAAATGACACTTTTTAACACATTATAATAAAAAAAATCTGAATTGTGCATTACTGGCATGTTGCTATTTTGAGGAACTCATTGACCAACTAAAAGCTGGTCTAAACTCCAGCACAGAGCGTGTTAGTTATTTGCCTATGTGGGTCCAAGCTTACACATTGCTTAATACACACAGGATGTACAGCAATACACAAATATCTTTACTTTTGAAAAAAAAAATTAAGAATAAAATGCTACAAAATGTAAATATAAAATTCCCTGCCTCCATGCCTTTATGTCTGGGGGGCCTTTTTCAGTTTATTCATGACAAAATTTGCATTTGTATACTATTAACAGTATTATTTATTATATGTAGGCTAATGGATGTCTTCAGGAGAGTGCGTACAACACTGTTCCCTTATACAAGAACGTAAAGGAGTAGAGTAAAAGTAAAGTAAAGAGAAAGTAAAGAGGCCGATTGGAGGAGGCTCATTCTTTATCCTCATGCTGCAGATAGTCGGTTTAACTGTTTTTAACTGCACAAAAGTAAAGCATTCAGTTTTTCCACTTACAAAGTCCACCATGTAAATAGCAAATCCCTTAGCCACGCAACTGACCTTTAAAAAAGGAGATGAGACTCAGACTGGTTTAACGCACGTTATTCTTAAAACAAACTCATAACTCATTAAGAGAATAGGCACAACCCTGTTAGACTATGCGCTGGGGCATTGTTAAAATAGAGCCCTCTATGTCTGAGTCATCTGTAAGGGGTCTGAGTTGCTGTAAAAGGTTATTCTCATATTTGTGTGCTCAAGTTTATTATTAAAAATGTAAATGCAATGCACACTCTTTGTCCATATGTGCCTATAATGCAGTTAGTTGAAAACATCTCAACCTTTCAGAATGTTGCAAGCACAACACACGTTACAAGAACCAACCAATCAGCTTCACCTTTATTTCCTTTTTTTGGAGGAGCATTTAAGGGGCTGTTGACATTGCATTGTGAAATATGCCACTTTCTCCATTGAATGTGCTCAGGAGATAGCACTCTCATGCCTCACACTCTTGCATACTCCAAGGAACCACCACTCACAAAACCTTGGAGTAGCTTGGATACAAGTTTTATATATGGAGTTTTAATTAATTAGTCTACTATTATAACTGAAATGTGTATATACATAGAAAGGATAAAGCTGATTGGTTGGGTAATGTCATATGACATGCTGTTTATTTGCAGCGTTCTGAAAATTGTGAAGATTATTTCAATTTAGCTGTGCATCGTGGCCACATTGCACTTTATTTGCACAAGATTGTCTTGTACTTACATTTTAAATAACAAACTTCAGCAAGCCAGACACAATAATTAAGAGGTTTCTTTGTGCCTGCTGAAAATTAAGTGAAAAAAAATCATACTCCTAAAATCATAGTATACATTTGTTACTGCTGTGTAAATGCATTCATGCCACACCTGAGCACTGTTAAACAATCTGTGTAAAGACACGTACTATAAATGCTCCTTCAGAAGCACTTCTGTTCCTCGTTTCCAGTGTAAAATGACATACTGTATTACGGCAGGGCTGTTATAACAGAATCATGCTTGATTCTGATTGAACTGACTGATTAAAACACAAAAGGTGTGCAATTACTGTCAGGAAAACACACAGCTCAAGAAATTTCAGACACGTCTTGACCACATTACAGTTCCATATTACTACGCTGAATGATTCAGTTCACAGCCTACAACTCTCAAAAATCAAATCAAATCAAAACAACAGGCTTTGGATTTGACGAGTTAGGGCATCTTTAAACAGCAAAGGAAAATGGCATTACACCTCAAAATGATTCATTAACACAGACTGTTTAATGAGGCATAGCGTCTTTACTCTGAATTCTGAGCAGACATAGACATGTGCAGTTGAAGTCAGAATTATTAGCCCCCTGTTTTTTTTCCCAATTTCTGTTTAACGAAGAGAAAAATGGTTTTAATAACTCATTTCTAATAACTGATTTATTTTATCTTTGCCATGATGTCAGTAAATAATATTTTACTAGATGTTTTTCAAGACATTTCTATATAGATTAAAGTGACATTTAAAGGCTTAATTAAGTTAACTAGGCAGGTTAGGGTAATTAGGCAAGTTATTGTATAACGATGGTTTGTTCAGTAGACTGTTGAAAATAAATATAGGTTAAAGGGTCTAATAATTTTGTCCTAAAATGGTTAATAAAAAATTAAAAACTGCTTTTACTCTAGCTAAAATAAAACAAACAAGACTTTCTCCAGAAGAAAAAAAACATTATCAGACATACTGTGAAAATGTCCTTGCTCTGTTAATCATCATTTGAGAAATATTTAAAAAAGAAAATCAAAGGGGGGCTAATAATTCTGACTTCAACTGTATATAGGGCTGTGTAAAGATGACTTAAGAAACTACTGTAGTACTACACACAGGAGATGTCTCACATACTTGACAAATGTCTTAAATTACAGTATTTGTCTTTAGGTGGGATAACTGGGAATAACTGACTCTGGTTCATTGGATTATTCGAAATATAATGCACACCTGAGGTACAACAGAAACTGCTTTGCATTGTGCTTCTTAATGTCCACAGTGTGGAGTTGAATATTGACAACGCGTCTCTCAAAATGTGTTTTTAAAGTTTAATGTCTGCACTAGACAGCTTCTATAAAACATCATGCACAAAATGACAAGGTGGCAGTCAAGATGTCAGTCTAACTCATGTTTACATAGAAAAAAACAATTTAAATGCATGCAGTGCAGAGCAAAACGGTGTTATTTGGTAGCCTGTAAAGCAGCCTGACCTAGAAACAGAAGAATTAACCTTAATTCCAGATTAAATTAACATATATCTAATAGCTCCTTAACTAATAATGAAATAAATACAACAGGGCTATATTTAAACCATCATTTGAAGTCCAAAACTAATAATAATTTGTTTATAAAGATATTTCAAGAGTTCACACTTAGCTGATGATTTACAAAGCTTATTTGGCATGCTGTCCCGGGAGAGAGCCCCGAGCTCAAGGGCTCCTCGAGCCCGGGGCTTCCTCCCGTTGGCAGAGCAAGAAGGGAGCCTGAGCTCGGTGGATCTCAGAACTCCCCTGCCGCTGTAGCTAAGGGAACGTAAGGAATTAGACAAGCTTGATTGTTAAGTATGTTGAATGTCTTTGGATGGTGGGAGGAAACCGGAGAACCCGGGGAAAACCCACGCGGACACGGGAAGGACATACAGACTCCCCACAGAAACACTCACCGGTCCTATCGAACTAGGACCGGCAGTATTCTTGCTGTGTGGTTCGCAGTGCTAACCACTGGACCGCCGTGCCGCCCAATCGCAGGTAAAGGAGGAGAATAGGGGAGGAGGGGGGTTTCTTCCAAACGAAGATAAAGTGAACTGAAAACTTAGGCTATTTATGGTGCCTTAGGGCTCATATGATTGGAAGATTAGTGATTAGCAAATGCGAGACTGGACGTGATAAATCATAAGCACGTGATCCTCTCGAAATTAGTTTATGAATAAACTTCACTTAAAATGTCAACAATATTTATTTGTTTTAGTTTAAAATCAAAAGGTTCTTAATTTTTCTGAATATCTTGTTTTGTGTGTTTAACATAGGAAACAAGCTCAAATAGAACCACTTGAGTAATCTTTGAGATATGATTTTGAGTGAACAGCAATAACCTTGTTCTGAGGTCACAGTCCATCAAGTATCTTTTTTTTAATCTTCATATTAAACAGTCTGTTTCATTTAAAGAGTTTCAGCTCACCCATCTTGGCATCTTTCCCCCTTGTGGATCATGATGATGAAACTGCAGAACAAGAACGGTGACAACAACCGACAAGCCCACGATCATCATGGTGCTGGCAAAGTACTGAGCTGCAGAGCCAAAGAAGACACAACACTTAAACCCAGCAAGCCATCGAAAACATCCACAGCCAAGAAGTTTTTCATGAGATTCAATATTCAGATTCTTGGACATATTCTCTGAAAACTGAGCAATCTGGACGCTGCACTCTACTCACCTATGAGAGGAACAGAATCAGAGGTTGCTGGCATGATTTCGGCCACCAGCAACATGAAGACCGTCAATGATAGAAGAACAGTGATACCTGACGAATGGAAAAGGTAGGAGTAAATCAAATTAATGACATTCCTTCATGTCTAATTACTGTACATATACCAGGATTGCAGCCAGCCTGGTAAAAGGGTTGGTTCTTTTTTTTCAAAAAGTGAACCATTTCGCAGTTATTCACCTTATTTTCTTTTTTTATGCTTAAAATTAGCTTAAAATTCAGCATTTATAGTGACATTTTAAGTACAATTTTATTTTATGTTTTGCTGATTATCTTGTCGAATGGTTGTCATCACTTTTTGATGTACCAAAAAGATTGCCTAAATATTTTGAATAAAGAAAAAAAAAATTACTTTACTTAAAAATAAAAATTTACCATCATATACAGTTGAAGTCAGTATTATTAGACCCTCTGTTTATTTTTTCCCGAATTTCTGCATAACAGAGAGAAGATTTTTTCATCACATTTCTAAACATAATAGTTTTAATAACTCATTTCTAATGACTTTTTTTTTTATCTTTGCCATGATGGCAGTAAATAATATTTTACTAGATATTTTTCAAGACACTTCTATACAGCTTAAAGTAACATTTAAAGGCTTAACTAGGTTAATTAGGGTAACTAGGCTGGTTAGGGTAATTATTAGTTATTGTATAATAATGGTTTTGTTCTGTAGGCTATCGAAAAAAAATGCTTAAAGGGGCTAATAATTTTGACCTTAAAATGGTTTTAAAAAATGTAAAACTTCTTTTATTCAAGCCGAAATTAAACAAATAAGACTTTCTCCAGAAGAAAAATATTATCAGACATACTGTGAACATTTCCTTGCTCCATCTAACATAATTTGTGGGCTAATAATTCTGACTTCAATTGTATCATTAGAACATGAATATGAATGAGGAATCTGATAGTTACAAACAAATTGGCCGGCACCTCAGTCACTTTCTTCAGTCAGAATCTGGCTTTTTGAATAATAAAAAATGAAAAAAATGTATGTTGTATGATTTTTTGCACAGCTGGATGTTGGACTCGTGAAAAATAATTGTTTGCATTGGCCAAAGCTGATTAGCTGAAGTCACGAACGACAGGCAACAGAGGATTGCGCTTGGACGCGAAGACCTCTTTAATGGGTTATTTTCACTTCATGATGGCATAATATTGGCTCATTTATGAGACAGATTCTGGACCTTTTTTAGTGGCAGGTGAGATTGTCCACCACCCAAACCCCCTCTTGCTACGGGCCTCAATATTTTTTCAGACTACCAGCAGTTCAAAGTTGAAAGTTTAATTTCTTTTCCTGAGGACATAACATATGTAAACTTCAATATCTCCCAGCTTATGCAAACTATGAAATTACCTCCATTTGTTGTCTAAAGAGGACATTTTGCGCTTTTATATGATACCATAGTTTATAGTGATGGGGCTGTGTGAACATTCTGTTCCTTCTCAAACAAAATGGAAAGTTTGGAAATTTTTTTTGTCATCATGGTTCAGCTTTACACGTACAACATCCTGATGTCTACTGTAGCAGACACATTTTTTTAAACAGTTTTTTTTTTCTAACACTTAAGGCCAACTCACAAATGTCAACAAACAACAACAATTTGGTCATTGTATTTCGAATGTTGTATGTAGATAATCACAGATAATCATACACAACAATTAACTAATCAATCAAATGATCATTTTTAAAGAGGCAAAAAAGACATTTAAAACCTTTCTCGTCCTGGGTCAGTTTAAGTCTGATTAAGATTGAGTTTGCTTCTATAATCATATCACACTGCTCAGACGTTGCACAATCCAACAAATGCTGACTGAATAACTTCTAACAGACTTGTTTGTTGCTGTTTGTCTATACGGTGTGAATTGGCCTTTACTTGAAAGGGTGTCCATATGACTGTCATTATACTTTATAATTGTGGCATGACACATCATGAATATAAATGAGAATGAGATTTTTATTCATGCTTATGACAACTGTTATTAAGAGTTTTTTGCTCAGTTATGTCATTTTATTAGCAAAGTTACATTGTTTAAGATGTTTTGAGACTACTTGACATATCCATCACAATTTGTCTTTGTAAGCAAGACAACAAAACCTGTCAAATCTCAATGTTATGGCGACTTGACATTATCAAGATCCCATAAGTTGTCATAAATCTGACATAAACAGTACTTTCATGAGCCCATGAATTTTTATAACAAGGAGATTATTTTTATTTTGGCAAAAGTATTGACACTTTTAATAAGAAATGTTAATGTCAAGTTGTCATAACAAAGACAACTGAAACAACATCACCTTTGCATTTAAAACTACATAACTGAGCAACTGACACTTAATGGCAGTTGTCAGAATCACGCATACAGTCTCATTTATATTCATGACATGTGTCATATCATGATTATAAAGGTGTCATGACACTTATGAACACTCGTTCAAGTAAAGGCCAATTGACACCGCACAGATGAACACCAACGAAGTCTCTGTTGGAGTTTGTTGGATCAGTGTGTTACCCCTGTTGGCATCTGCTGTCTTTGATAAGAGTTTGTTTTCACCTGACTGAACATGTTCAACCAGAGTTTGTTGGATCGTGGAACATCTGAGCAGAGTGATTTGTTTATTTTCTAATGGTAACAAACTCCGACATCAAGTAAACACCCCTACAGGTAAAGTATTACCTTTGTGTTTTTCAAAAAAAAGTTCATTGTAAGCTTATTGTGTTCCAAAGAGTTAAAATAAAAGTATCAAGTATAAAATATGAATTTTCCCAATTCTCCCAAAAAGAGAAAGCTGTACTTTACTGTATGTGATGTTGATCTTACCTAATGAAATTTTCTCTCCAGAATCGGCTGGCAGCAGGAAGACAAGCAGCGCCAGGCCGGAGATGAGCACACAGGGAATGAGCAGGTTCAGACCATAGTACAATGTTCGCCTGCGCATTGTTACTGTAAATGTCACGTCAGGGTAGGGCTCCTTACAGCACTCATAATACAGCTCATTACGCTTCCCAGGGACCCCTGACGCAAGACAAAACAACACATTTGGGTTATGTCATAAAACAGCAAGCCTTTTCCACAAATACACTAGACTCTGGTGTCCTATTACTTTTTATGTAGCAACCTAGTGTTTGTGTTGTTAGAAATATTAGATATTGTTTAACACAGAATGCATCAATTTGAAAATCGGCTTGTTTTAAGCACACTTTGCTTACTGCATATTTCTGTCACAAATCAGTATCTGTTAGTTTTAAATTAGTTAGGGGTTTGCTTTAAAAGCATTACTTAAGTAAAATGTGATTCTGTAAAGACCAGGCAGCAACAAACACTTTTTCAGGTTTTCTCAGAAGAGTGTGTTGTTTTTGTTGGCATCTGTTGGATTTATTTATTTATTAATTATTTTGCCCTCTGAACATGCTGAATCTACACTTTTCAGGTTGTAGAATAAGAAAAGTTGTAAAAGTATTCCAGTGATTGTCCTCGTTTGTTGCCATCTGTCGGTGTGGTGTAAATTGCTCTTATAGGTCATAATAGCGACAAACCTTATCATATTGATAAAAAACATCTCATAAAAATGCTAAACATTCTCATAATAATGACTAAACATGTATTAGTGGTTATTTAGTGGCAATATCTTTCACTCTAATGCAGAGTCATTATTGTGACAAAATGTCTCATAAAATGTGAAGCTTTATTGTCTTTATTTAAAAGTGTTTATTACAGTCTTTATTCACAGACTATTTTAAAGTGTCAGTCATTATTTTGAGTTATTACAATGAGAATGTGTATCATTATAGAACAGCTTTACCTGAAAAGAAATATCATTGCAAGATACAATTAAACAGTGTTTTTCCTACTTTTAGAATGTTTTATATTATTATTATTACTACTATTATATGATATAATATGATCATTTTTCTTTATGATATGCCAAACAGTATTTTGGAATGTTCAGGGATTTTAACTTTGACCCACATTAAAAACAACTAGCTGCATTAGTAAGTGATTTAATGACATAAAGAACTGATGAGGCCTTTATATGTCACCTTTTGTGTGTGTGTCTTAACAATTATCATTTATTCATTCATTCATTTTCTTTTCCCTTTATTCAACATCACAGCGGAATAAAACGCTAACTTATTGAACATATGTTTTATACAGCAGATGCCCTTCTAGCCACCCCTGCTCTAGGTGCTCCGGTTTCCCCCACAGTCCAAAGACATGCGCTATAGGTGAATTAAATAAACTAAATTGGTCAGAGTGTATGTGTGTGAATGTAAGTGTTTAGGGGTGTTTCCCAGGGGAATGAAAACGTGTATAAGTGATTCCCAGTGCTGTGTTGTAACTGGAAGAGCATCTGATGGATAAAACATATGCCAGAGTAATTAGTGGATCATTCTGCTGTGGCGACAACTGACAATTCAGGGAATAAGCCAAAAGATAGTTGTCAAATAGGCAGTAATCTTTATTAGTAAATCACCATTTTTGAATTAATTATTTTAATATTTATGTATTTTGAATGTAGTCTAAAGTGCCACAAACCAGACATGTGCTATAGGTAAATGTTATAGCATGAATGTTTCCCAGTACTGGGTTGCAGCTGGAAGGCCATCTGCTGTGTAAAAAGTTGGTGGTTCATTCCGCTGTGGCGGCCCCTGATGAATATAGGGACTAAGCCAAATGAATGAATGAATGATTTTACACACAAAAAAATAACAAAACGTAAGAATTTTAAAGTGAACATTTTTGAGACCAAAACTTAACAGGTGACTATCATTCTTTTAAACACAGAAGAACAATATTTAATTTGATTTCAAAAGCATATTATGATATATTATATTATCATTATTAAATGAGTCAGCAGAGTGGTTCAAGGAAAATCTAAGTGAGTGACCCATTCACAACACAGCTGAGATGAAAATAGAGGCTGTCGGCCAAGAAGAGCTTATTTGTGACAGGACCAAATCACAGACAGGGTTTTTGTGACCTGTACAGTGCATAACCTCTAAAAATAGTTTTTGCTGTTATTAAACCTAAAGTAAACACAAGAATCAGCCATTATTTACTCTGCTTCTTGTCCTTCCTTTGTGCGTGTGCACAAAACAAATATTTGTTTTCCATTCCCTTTTTTTTCCAATGTAATCCACTTAATCCTAAAACCCTGTCCAAAGTATGAATGCAATTCAATATTTCAACAAAAGCCCAAGCCAAGTGTTTTGATATGAAACACAGTAATGTCAGCTATAATGTAAAAAATGCAATCCACACTTTAAAATGCATGAACATTACATCATTTCTGCTGGTTGCATTAGTAAAAGGAAACAATAACATGACATGTTGCAAATGTGACAGTGTTGATCTGTCAGGGTCAGGCAGCCCTCCTCTCCGATTGATTAAAAATTAAATCAAAATTGTAATTAATCAAACTGGGCAGGCGGAGAAAAAGCTTTCATCAGGATTTCACGCTGGTCAGAATTGTCATGGCACTCAGAGACAATCACATCAGGAAAGGAAATTACTGGTTTGAGACATTTAACTGATTACAAAAGACCGACTGGGTTTTGTGCTGTATATGTGTGTGAGAGTGTGTGTTTGAGGTGGGAGGAAACTCATGATACAATCATGCAAATTTGTCAGAGGAATGGACAAACATGAAAAACAATATAATAGAGCACAGAAAAGTACAGAACAATTTATGTTACATATCAGAAATTGGTGGTCAAAATCCACCTAATATGCGTGTAATAAATGTCACTTTTTTTACACAAAATACTTCAAACAAAACATTTTTTTAACTATAATTACAATACAATTTTAACAACAATGAGTTAATACACTATTATATTTAGACATGTGCTAAAAAAGTCTCCTCTCCATTAAAAAGAAATTGGGTGGGAAAAAAAAACAAGCGGTCTTATGATTCAGGGGGAATAATAATTCTGACTTTAACTGTATGTTCTGTGGAGAGAGAAGATCCTTACAGAAGGACAACCATCTGTGCAGCAATTCACAAATCAGGCCTGTATGGTAAAGTGACCAGACGGAAGCCACTCACCACCTGTAATTTGCCAAAAGGCATCTAAAGGACTTTCAGACCATAAGAAACAAAAATCTCTGGTCTGATGAGACTAAAATTGAACTCTTTGGAGTGAATGCCAGGTGTTATCTTTGAAGAAAACCAGGCATCCCTCATCACCAGGCTAAAACTATCCATACAGTGAAGCATGGTGGTAGCAGCATCATGCTGTGGAGATGTTTTTCAGCAGCAGGAACTGGAAGACTAGTCAGGATAGAGGGAAAGATGAATGCAGCAATGTAGAGAGATCCTAAATGAAAACTTGCTTCAGAGTGCTCTTGACCTCAGACAGGGGCGACGCTTCATCTTCCAGCAAGACAATGACCCAAAGAACACCACCAAAATATCAATGGAGTGGCTTCACAATAACATCTTGTGAATGTGACCCAACCAGAGTTCAGACCTAAATCCTATTGAACATCTCTGGAGGGATCTGAAAATGGCTGTAAATCGTCACTTGCCATCCAACCTGATAGAGCTTGAGGTACTACAAAGAGGAATGGGCAAAAATTCCCAAAAACTGGTGTGCCAAGCTTGCGTCATCATATTCAAAAATACTTGAGGCTGTAATTGCTGTCAAAGGTTCATCAACAAAGAATTAATCAAAGGCTGTGAATACTTATGCACAATTTTTTTTTTTTAGGTTCTTAACTTTTATTTGCAACAATTAAAAAAAAAAAAACTTTTTTTCACATTGTCATTATGGGCTATTGTGGGTAGAATTTTGAGGAAATCAATTAATTTAGTCCATTCTGGAATAAGGCTGTGACACACACACAAAAAAAAAAAAGCTGAAAAGTAAAGAGCTATAAATACTTTCCAGATGCACTGTGTGTGTGTGTGTGTGTGTGTATATATATATATATATATATATATATATATATATATATATATATATATATATATATATATATTACAATTTTTAATAACTGCTTTTGTATTATATGTAGTTTCTATTGAAATCGTTCTTCAGTCATTATTGCTTTTATTACTATTACCATTAATAAAAATATTATTAATAATAATATTAGTTAATATTAGAGTGAGTTCTGAATCATGTGACTGAAGCCTGTAGTAATGAAGCTGAAAATTCATTATTAAAATCAATGGAATAAATTATTAAAATATGGCGAAGCGGTGCACAGTAGGTAGTGGTAGGGAGGGCATCCGCTGCGTAAAAATGAGCTAGATAAGTTGGCGGTTTATTATATATATATATATATATATCTTCTTTATTATTAATAATGAATAAACATGGAAGTTTAGAAATTAACAATTTACAAACATGGAAGCTTAAACCTCATGACACATTGTATTTTTTTATTTATTTAATATGTAAATCCCTTATGCATTTGTGTATCAACAACAAATCCCAATGACACAACTGCAAGTACTTTTCATCACTAGTTTTCATAGCTCAGTTTGAAGTCAAATGACTTAGTAGTCAGAGTCAGACGTTTTTAAAAGTTCAAAGGAAGGCAAAAAAAAAAAAAATGCACTGCTCCTCTCATATCTATTACTAAAGCAGCTGAAAACACCTTTTCAACAAGCATTCGTTAAATTTGAATAAAAAGAATGTAAAAATTGTTATTTAGCTCATATAAAAGCAATGTTAACAATCATTCGTAATTAAAGTGGTCAATAAATATATTAATAATATAAATTCTAAAATATGTATAAACTATGAATTAAATGATTCATTGGATTTAATACATTTTTGTATTAAAACAATTTATGTGAGCTGAATTTAAACAAACAAATTTACTTGAACACTAAATTGAATTTGTTTGATTAAATTCAGCCCATACATTAAAAAAAGGGTTAAAAGCTGTCATAAGTTGTACTTGGCGACCCGGTGGCGCAGTGGGTAGCACGTTCGCCTCAGAGCAAGAAAGACCCTGGTTTGAGCCTCGGCTGGGTCAGTTGGCATTTCTGTGTGGAGTTAGCATGTTCTCCTCGTGTTTGCGTGGGTTTCCTCCGGGTGCTCCGGTTTCCCCCATAAGTCCATAAATTGTCCGTAGTGTATGTGTGTGAATGAGTGTGTATGTATGTTTCCCAGTGATGGGTTGCAGCTGGAAGGGCATCCGCTGCGTAAAGCAAGTGCTGGATAAAATGGCAGTTCATTCCGCTGTGGTGACCCTGGATTAATAAAGGGACTAAGCCGAAAATAAAATGAATGAATGAATGAATGAATAAACTGTACTTGTTTTATTTATTTATTTATTTATTTATTTATTTATTTTTGTGTTTGTCTGTATTCAACCCAACTCAAAATAATACAGGAAAATGTACCTTTTTTTGAGTTCATGTTTACATTTTTTGCAATTGCGTGACCAGTCATATTCAGCAGCGTGTGAAATGTATGTGTGTGTGTAATGTGTCGCTCCCTGCGGTGTTAAAGATGCCCATTCACAGACTGCCCATGTCACTGCACAACCTTGGCACGCAACTGGGCATTGGTGCCAGCCAGAATCAAAGCCAAAGCACTGCCAACCACCATCAGGACCCCATCTGTCGAACAGACCCGGGGTCACATTGGCATTGAAAGCGTAAAAATGCTAGACTGAGACAGAAACAGGGACATTAAACCGCCAAACACGATCAGATTATGAGATTATAAAGCTGCGCAACACAAGCATTCATTTCTAATATTAATATTTCTAATAATAGTGCAATGTGTCCTGTGGTGTTTGTTGGATGATTATAGTTTTGCTCAATGTTATTTAATCCTGTCATAAAATAAAACCACACAGAAAAGTGAATGACTTTGTTGTCATTGTCAGGATGTTGAAATTCATTCTGCGCTGTCTTAATCCATGCGAATAGCAAGAAATGCTCTCACGAGAGTGTCAAGACATTCTTCAAGTTTTTTTTATTCTCCACCTGTGCGTATGGACATTAAAGAAGAGTGTCTTTCAAAGACCTTCTGAACCGCATGTTAAGTTTATGTTCCCTAAAGTCCAGCAGGAATGAAGAAATGATCCACTTAGCATTCAGATGAGCCAACATCACTTTTACACACTTTCCCATCAAACAGTTGTAGCAAGGAAATGATCAATAGATCAATAGAGTGCCTCCAGGCAAAGAAAACCATTCAAACACACATGGCCTACACCGAGCACACAATAACACATTAAACACTTGAAAGTATAAAAGTGTGAAAGATTTATACCATTAAGAATTGAATGTGTGTGTCACAAGTTAGAAGGGATGTGTTTGGCTCCTCATAAAATTATTTCTTTTAGTTAAAACTCAGTCCTTAATGCATCAGTTTCATAGGACAAAAGTTGATCGTTTCAAACTGTTTGGAAAAACAGCTAAGAGCTTTGTTTATATACAGTTTAAGTTATTGTCTTTATTTTAACCCGGGCTCATTCTGATTACGTACCTCTATATACATTTATAGTGAGAGCAAAATACATCCCAGGTGCGGCATTTTTTTTATTTTTTATTTTTTGCAGTTTTTGTTTTCGCAAATTCGTCAAAGGTTGCTGTGTATGCTTTTTCAGATCTCAAATTTCTCTCGCGAGTGCCAATCATGCATGCTGTTCTCATGTAAATCCACAAAAGGGTGCTGTCAATTGTCAGACTGACCAACCGACCCATCCCCCACCCTCCCCTTTCCCAAAACCCAACCAATAATGTTTTAAAAAGCACCGATTGACCCGTCCCCCCTCTTCCCTAAACCCAACCGACAGTGTTTTTAAAAGCTATCCAGAAAAAGAAAAGCCCATATAGCAGCCTGATATTTAGATTTTCGGTTTTCAGATTTTACCACATTCTCACCCTGTTATTTACTTGTTTATTATATTTTTTGTAGCCTTTATTGCCTTTTGATTTTGTTTTACCTGCTTTTTGGGAACTGTTCTTTAAAAGGACTTTGGTTCTGTGTCTCAAGTCTGCCAATGTACGTGTCAAGCTAACGGACAAACTAGTAACAGCGGTAAAGTCGTCCACACGGAGGTAAGTGGTCAGCTGGTAAACACGAAAAGGAACGGCATCATACCACCCCATTGCGATTGTTTTAATGAGGAAATGCAGCCATACGCAGCTCTGGCTACATTTTTCGCGATCTCCAGAAATGTATATAGGGTTATGTTTTCAGAATGAGTCTGTTTTCCTTTATTTAAAGTAAAAATATACTCAAAGAAAACATGAAATTAAAATTGAAAATGTTTATTCTGCCAGCGCACATTGCTAGTTTTAGTTAAATTCTATGAGATTGGTTTATTACTTATTATTCGGGGGCAAAATTGATGCAGCTCCATACTCCACAGAACAGATGAATTAATAAAAACATTTTAAACACACTAGATTATTGACATAATTATGTAAATCTTGTTCTTATTTGTTTAACTTATGTTTAACTAACAAATATCAATAACATAATGTTTATTAGTTAAATTATGAAGAAGTGTGATTCAAATGAATAGAAATTTTATATGCAATCAGAATACATTAATCTTATTTATTTTTGGAGTGTGAGAAAACATAATAATTTTTAAAACGTATAGGCAGCAAATCCTCACAACACAACCAAATACTAAAACGAGCTGCAAATACAGAAGGGCTCTGCAATACCCCATAATACAAGGATTTGCAGCACATTTCTGTACCTGGTCAGAATCACATTCAAGCATTATTGACTTTTTCACTATTGTATACATTTCCAGGCATTCTTACCCACTAAATCCCACTCTCCATTGGGGATGTATGTAGAGATGTCCACTGCCTGCATCTGGAGGTCCAGCAGCCAGCCGTTATGAGTCCACGAGCCAAATTTCAGGTCACATTTCTGGATATCAAATGGGAACCAGCGCACATCTATGTAACACGTGCTCTTCAGAATACCTGCACACAAGCATACACATGTATATACACACATAAAACTCAACAGGTACAATAAAGAAAACGTTCGAGGTTACAGAAGTAACCCTTCGTTCCCCGAGGAGGGGAACGGAAGTGCCATGAATGGGAGGATTCGGATCAGAAGCCGCTTATCTGGAGAGTATTGAACGGGCCAATGAATGAAATTAATTGGCAGCGTAAGCTTGCGCAGGTGTGCGACATCTGCAATTATCTCAGCATATAAGCACACCTGAAGCCAGCAGACGCCATCCTTTTAAGCTGAAGAGACTTTCAAACAGCTAAGGGACAGTCATTATGGCGACGGAATATGGCACTTCCGTTCCCCTCCTCGGGGAACGAAGGGTTACTTCTGTAACCTCGAACGTTCCCCTTCGGTTGGGGAACTTCAGTGCCATGAATGGGAGAATATGGAAAGCGCCATAATGACTGCACCTTACCAACACCCCCGATGAGGAGATAGTCAAGCAAGCGTGACGCACCCACATCATGGGGGGCGCGGTCCTCCAACGTGTCCCTGGCCCTAATTTATCCTACTTCAACAGAAGTTTTACGGATTTAGATATATTTTTTGGGAAGTCGTGAGCATCTAGATAATTCTAGGAAATACGACAGTACGTTGGGAAGCGTGCAATCCCGATAGGGAGGACGCTGCGGAGGCCATCCGTTACCCAAGGGGGGGATAGATGGCAGAATTTACCTATGGACTAGCCCTAAAAAGGGGGAGTACGCATAGCAAAGAGTGGTTAGCGGAGAGGGAAGACACGGGTCCGCCCAGGGGGGGGACTTAACCGTGGCGGAATAAGCATATGGGATCGCCTAGTGGGGATCACGCATAGCAGGCACCTATACCCAAAACGCGGGCTGACCAGCGGGCAGACCTACAACGTAGTGGGCCAGCAAGTGACTCCTCCGCTGAGTCAGTGCTGGGGGCCACGGAGGAATCTGCAGGGCTCACCTGACGGGGAACTTTACTGACAGATAAAAAAGGCGCACGTACCTCCGTGTTAGGGAGAATGGCGCAGCAAGCGTGTTTCAACACCCTACCGAGTTGTCTCCTCAATCACCAAAGGGTTACCTAATACCCTTGAGGAAACCGGCTCCACTCGCAGATTGTAAAACCTTGCAAATGTGTTGGGTGTCGCCCAGCCCGCAGCTCTACAGATGTCTGTTAGAGAGGCGCCGCGTGCACGCGCCCAAGAGGATGCAACGCTCCGAGTGGAGTGTGCACGTACTCCCGGGGGACACGGCTGACCTCGACTCGAATAAGCGAGTGAAATGGCATCCACAATCCAGTGGGATAATCTTTGTTTCGATACGGCACTTCCCTGCTGCCGACCGCCATAACAGACAAAGAGCTGCTCAGATGATCTAAAATTCTGAGTACGGTCCACATAAATGCGCAGAGCGCGAACTGGACAAAGTAAAGAAAGGGCTGGGTCTGCCTCCTCCGGGGGCAGCGCTTGCAGGTTCACTACCTGATCTCTAAAGGGGGTGGTAGGAACCTTGGGCACATAACCGGGGCGGGGTCTCAGGATAACGTGAGAGTAATCCGGCCCGAATTCCAGGCACGAGTCACTGACCGAAAATGCCTCCAGGTCCCCGACCCTCTTGATGGAGGCCAACGCAACCAGCAGAGCTGTCTTCAGGGACAGAAATCTTAGAGATACTGATTCGAGTGGCTCAAAGGGATCGGATCGCAGACTCGTGAGAACGAGGGCGAGATCCCAAGAGGGCATGAGAGGGGGGCGAGATGGATTAATTCGCCTAGCACCCCTAAGGAACTGGATGACCAGGTTATGCTTTCCCACGGTGCCGCCAGCTACCGCGCTATGATAAGCGGAGATGGCGGCCACGTAAACCTTGAGAGTGGAGGGCGACAGCCTGCTGTCCAACTTCTCTTGAAGGAAAGAGAGCACAACACTAATCTGGCAATTTCGGGGGTCTTCTCTGCGAGAGACGCACCATTCAGTGAATAGACTCCACTTCAGGGCGTAGGCGCGCCTCGTGGAGGGGGCTCTAGCCTGAGTGATGGTATTAACCACTGCAGTCGGTAGGTTACCTAAGTCTTCCTCGCGTCTAGGGACCACACGTGGAGGTTCCAAAGATCGGGGCGAGGGTGCCAGATGGTGCCCTGTCCCTGAGAGAGTAGGTCCTCTCTCAAAGGGATCCGCCAGGGGAGGGCCGTCGCGAGGAGTGAGAGCTCTGATATCCAGGTCCGGTTGGGCCAAAGGGGCGCAACTAGCAGAACCTGTTCCTCGTCCTCCCTGACCTTGCACAGAAACTGCGCGAGCAGGCTCACTGGGGGAAACGCATACTTGCGCATGCCCCGAGGCCAGCTGTGGGCCAGTGCATCCGTGCCGAGAGAGCCCTCGGTCAGGGAAAAAAACAACTGGCAGTGAGCGTTCTCGGGGGAAGCAAACAGATCGATCTGGGCCTCCCCGAATCGCGCCCATATCAGCTGAACAGACTCGGGGTGGAGTCTCCATTCTCCAGGGCGTAACAGCTGTCGTGAGAGTGCATCGGCTGCACGATTGAGCGTGCCTGGGACGTGAATGGCGCGCAGCGATTTCAGCCGCGGGTGACTCCAGAGGAGCAGACGGCGGGCGAGCTGAGACATGCGGCGAGAGCGCATATGGATTGATATGCCAATGCAGCTGGGCACCCTTCCAGAGGCCCGCAGCCGCATGCCCGCGACACACGGCCCCCCAACCCGTGTTGGAAGCGTCTGTTGAAACAACAACATGGCTGGACGCCTGTCCTAGAGGCACACCGGCCTGTAGGAACGAGGGGTCGTTCCAAGGGCTGAGGGCGCGGCGACACAGCGCAGTAACCGAGACCCGGTGTGTGCCCGCGTGCCATGCGCGTCTGGGGACCCGATCGTGAAGCCAGTGCTGAAGTGGTCTCATATGGAGCAACCCGAGCGGCGTGACGGCGGCTGCGGATGCCATATGCCCCAGGAGCCTCTGAAAGAACTTCAGTGGGACCACTAGTTTGCTGTCGAGCTCCCTCAGACAGTTCAGCAACAGGCGAGCGCGTTCCTCGGAGAGGTGCGCTACCATGGTGATCGAGTCCAGCTCCATCCCGAGAAAAGAAATCCTCTGCACGGGGGCGAGTTTGCTCTTTTCTCGGTTGACCTGAAGCCCCAGTAGGCGGAGATGCCGAAGCACCTCGTCCCTGTGCATAATCAATTGCTCCCGCGAGTGGGCTAAAATCAGCCAGTCGTCGAGATAACTGAGTATGCGAATGCCCGCGAGCCGAAGGGGCGCTAGGGCACCCTCCGCGAGTTTGGTGAAGACCCGCGGAGACAGAGAGAGCCCGAAGGGGAGGACCTTGTACTGCCACGCTCGACCCTCGAACGCAAACCGCAGAAATTGGCGGTGGCGTGGAAGAATGGAGACATGGAAATACGCGTCCTTCAGGTCTATGGCTGCAAACCAATCCCGAGGACGAACGCATTGGAGAATGCGCCTCTGCGTGAGCATTCTGAACGGCAGCTTGTGCAGACAGCGGTTCAAAACGCGCAGATCTAGGATTGGCCGTGACCCACCGCTCTTTTTGGGTACGATGAAGTATGGGCTGTAAAACCCACTCTCCATCTCGGCTGGAGGAACCGGCTCGATTGCACCCTTCGCCAGGAGGGCAGCAATCTCCTCTCGCAAGACAGGGGCGGACAGGGGGTTGACCCTGGAGAAATACACGCCCGTAAACTTGGGGGGCCGTTTCGCGAACTGAATCGCGTAACCGAGTCTGATTGTGCGTATGAGCCACCGCGAGGGGCTGGCCCGCGCTAACCAGGCAGGCAGAGCCCTCGCTAATGGAGTCATCGCTACAATCGCTGACGTACCAGCGGTGGGGCAGCGCGGAGTGGGTGTGCTGATCCGGGAAGCACGAGGGTCCCGCGGAAAAGCTGGAGGAGAGCGATTCGCTCTGGCTCCGCACCCTGACTCCGGAGAGGGGGCTGGAGGGCTGAGGGAAGGGAGACCGTCCCCCCAGCGCTCGTGAGCCACTGGCGAAGCACGTAGAGTCTGCGAGCCGGAAGGCAGAGCGTCCCGGACTGGCAGAACTCGTGCAGTCACATCCGGGGAAGGGAAAAAGTGCTCTTTTACTGATGTTTTGGTGGCACTGAAAAGTACCGTTGTTATCGGGGCCCCGCCCTCCAGCGGGGAAAGAGCAAGTTTCCTCTTCTCCGGATGGCCTGTCTCAGGGACGCTTCGCGGTCCGTTTACCGGACTTAACGGCGCCCTGGGCAGGAGGGGCTGCCTGCTTTCGAGGTGAACGCCGCGCCCGCTTGGCCGGAGGCGCAGGCGGGGGCGGGGCAGCACTCGTTGGCGGGCGCCCTCGGCGAGGAACAGCGGAGGTGGATGGCTCGGCGGGCGGAGCGGGCTTACGGCCACGCCGATAGATGACATTGCCCATCGCATCCGACTGCTCTTTCACCGCCTTGAATTCCTGGGTGAATTCACCGACGGTGTCGCCGAACAGGCCAGCCTGGGATATGGGCGAGTCAAGAAAGCGAACTTTGTCAACGTCGCGCATATCGGCCAGGTTTAGCCAGAGGTGGCGTTCCTGAACCACAAGTGTGGACATCGTCCTCCCCAGCGCACACGCGGCGGACTTAGTAGTCCGAAGAGCATAGTCGGTCGCGGTGCGCAGCTCATGTAATAAGCTTGGGTTGGACCCGCCCTCGTGCAGCTCGGCCAGCGCCTGTGCTTGGTAGCGCTGGTAGGTGGCCATCGCGTGCAAAGCAGAAGCAGCCTGGCCCGCAGCCTTATAAGCTCTGGCTCCGAGGGAGGCAGACAACCTACAGGCTTTGGACGGGAGGCGGGGCAAACCCCGCCACGTAGAGGCGCCGCGCGGACAAAGATTGATCGCGATAGCGCGCTCCACTGATGGGATCGCCTCATACCCCCTGGCAGCTCCGCCGTCAAGGGCGGTGAGGGCGGAGGCACTCGCAGCACGGGCAGAGAAAGGTGCCCTCCAGGACTGCGTGAGCCTACTGTGCACTTCCGGGAAGAAGGGGACGAGAGGCTTCGAAGGCTTCGCCTTCTGGTCCTCTACGTAGCACCCATCTAGTCGGTCCGGCCGCGGAGCTGGGGGATAAACCATCTCCAACCCCACGGCCGAAGCAGCCCGGGAAAGCACGGCTAACATGTCCGCTTCAGGATCCGATTTGACAGCGCTCACCTGCCCGGAGGGGGCGAGCGGGTCCGGATCTTCGTCGGACAGTGAAAGCCCACCCTCCGATGCCGCGTAGGACATCTGATCTCCGGTGTCAGCGAGTGTGAGAGCTACCATCTGGTTAGACGGATCACTCTCACCACCCGAAGCTTGGATGGAGCGCCGTGAGGAGCGAGAGGTCCGCGAGCCCGTGGGCGGCGGATTAGCTCCCGCTGAAACCCTCAGATCTGCCCGAGCGCCCGCTGCTTTTTTAGAACAGGAGGCAACTGGGGTGGCTCGCTCTCTTGCGAAAGTTAGCCGCGATCTTAGCTGTGCAACGGTCATGGCATCGCAATGACGACATGAACCGCCCGCGAGCACCGCATTAACATGCTGGACCCCCAAACATGCAATGCAGTGATCGTGTCCATCATCCGGAGACAGGAAACCCCCGCATCCAGAAACGCACAGTCGGAGCGCCATCCTGAAAAGGACGTGCTGCACGACTGTGTTGCTCTTTTAGGAAAGTTGCAACTATACGCACCGCTCTGGAGGACCGGACCCAAAGAACCGCAGGCAAGGGAGTAACCCAGCTCGACCGTCTGCCACCGCGAAGACCCACTCTGGACCGGGAGACACACTCGTTCGCTCTGAAGTGCTGATCAGCAAGAGGAACCCTCATCGACTCACTCAGAAAGGATCTGAAGCGAAAAGGATGGCGTCTGCTGGCTTCAGGTGTGCTTATATGCTGAGATAATTGCAGATGTCGCACACCTGCGCAAGCTTACGCTGCCAATTAATTTCATTCATTGGCCCGTTCAATACTCTCCAGATAAGCGGCTTCTGATCCGAATCCTCCCATTCATGGCACTGAAGTTCCCCAACCGAAGGGGAACCACAATAGTTGAATATTGAAATCATTTTCATTTTAAACTCTATTGTTTAACCTGCAAAAATAGCATCTGATATTTACTAATTACAATTTTGTAAATTAAATAAGTAAATACAATTAGCTAATAATTACTTTCATGTTTGGAGATAAACAATAAGTGACTTTAAAAATAGTTTAAGGTGCTGTTTGTTTGCAATAATAATAATAATAATAATAATAATAATAATAATAGAAAATGGGTATTGATTGAGAATGAATTATCTCAGTAATCAATCTGATTGATCTTGTTAATATCACAATGACAAGTGGTTGATTAACATCAACAAACATTAATAATTGCTGACAACTGTGTTAGTCATTGATAGCTAAATACACACACACACACACACACACATATAATTGCAATTTAAACAACACAATATGTGCAAAATGAAAATACATACTTTTAGAGATGTATAGATAAGGTAGTAAATTAGAGGATTCATTGGAAAAAATTAACCAAACCATTTCCATTAATTGAGCTCAAAGAATCATGAAATGAAATAAAGTGAAACATTAAATAAATTAAACATTGTTTGCCAATATGACAATTCTCAATTAAACATTGCTTGCCAATATGACAATTCTCATTTTTTTAATGAAGTAGTTCTAAAACAATTGATAATACAATTAAATGAAACAGACATGTAAAAATACTAAAGGACAAAACCAAAAATATTGAACTGTTAATTAATGCTAACTAAATACAGAAAATACATTTTTGCTTAAAATATGAACTAATATCACTTGCTTTAAAATTAAACTGAATGTAGATATTTACAATTAGCACTCACAGTACCAGATCTATTAACAACTTATGCCCTTGGCTTGCACATCTTTATTTGGTGTTAAAACTAAAATCATTGTTATTTACATTGCATCATTACATTTTTCACACAACATTATTTACTAAGGTCCACAGTTGTCAGTTTGCTGGTATTTGTGTCGTTAACAATCTTGTCTTAAATCTTTAATTGTAAATCCAATCAGCTGTTGGGGAACATGCCAAACCATCAATCAAACATCTCAGATTTCAGCCTTGAATTACAGGAATCATTTAGGATTTTAAAATTTCTCTCAGACAACCAAACTGTGACCAAAATTGCACAATGTGAGCCGCGCTTAGGACCATATTTGAGTGGTTAGTAACTGTGGAAAACATATAGTTCTTACCTGGTGGGATGTACTGACAAGCACCTGATGCATTAACTAGGACATTTGTATGGAAGGTGGCATCAAACCTTTCATCAGCACTGCAGAGAGGAGCAGAACAAAGCCCAGTCAAAGTATTATCTGAACCACATCAGTGGAAAATGTTAGTGCCCTGTAATCAGCATACTTAATATAGTGCTTTCACAATGATTCATCAGTCTGACATATTGATAGCTCAGAACACTAAACCAAATTAAAGTCACATACAGTTAAAGTCACAATTATTAGCCCCCTTGTTTATTTTTTTCCTCAATTTTTGTTTAATGGAGAGAAAAAAAATTCAACAAATTTCTAAAGATAATAGTATTAATAACTCATTTCTAATGACTGATTTATTTTATCTTTTGCCATGATGACAGTAAATAATATTTGACTAGATATTTCTTTTCTATACAGCTTAAAGTAACATTTAAAGGCTTAACTAGGTTAGGTTAATTAGGCATGTTAGGATAATTAGGCACGTTATTGTATAACGATGGTTTGATGGTTCAGTAGGCTATCGAAAAAAAAATAGCTTAAAGGGGCTAATAGTTTTGTCCCTAAAATGGCGTTTAAAAAAATAAAAACTCCTTTTATTCTAGCCGAAATAAAACAAATAAGACTTTTTCCAGAATAAAAAATCGTATCAGACATACTTTGAAAGTTTCTTTACTCTGTTAAACATGATTTGGAAAATATATATATAAAAAAAAACTTTCTTAGAACATTAATATAATGTGTATAAAATGTTCCAATGATATTTTTAAACAACTTTCTGACAAATATTTAAATAACATAAAAAATTATTATAACAAAAAATAACGTTAATGCATTGCGTAAAAAATACTGGAAACCTAAAAAAGAACCTTCTGCAATGATGTTTTAAAACACTGAAAATTTTAAAGAAATGCTCTTAGAACACTAATATAATGTGGATGGAATGTTCTAATAATATTTTAAGAACATTATTACTAATAATTAGCATTTACTAATGCTATTAAAAAAAAAATATATATATATATATATGAGCAATATCACACAATTAGCAGTGCGATATGGCTGTATATCGGTACTGGTCTTAGTGCCCCAACCAGTGCCGATATACAGCCATATCGCACTGCTACGAGTGTGATATTGCGTTTATACAACAGTTTGATAACTGTGGCCGAACTGTGTATATAAAAATAAAATCAAACATGGAGAGTCTCAAAAACCTTTTTGTATGAGAAACTACTTTCTTCTGCGTTGGATTCAAATCATACGCTGACAGTTAAACAGTAGAGCAAGCATCTTTTAAACTTCAGATCTGTCGTGTCTGCTTTTTGATGGTTGTATGTGGGCGGAGTAATAAACAAAGGGTAAAGAGGCTTTACAGATGCTGATATTACTTAAATATATCACAGCTATCAGCCAATCAGATTCGAGAACTAGACAGAACTACTTGCTGTTATATATATATATATATATTATATATACAATTATTATTATTATTATTAATCTTATTTTTATTATATTAATGCATTGTCATTCTTAGAACATTAGAAAATACTATTGTATATCTAAATTAGAAGATTAAGAGAACATTTTTAGATGTTTGATATAGGTAGCATGTTTGTAGTTGGCCAAACTGTCTATGTTTTTCAACCTTTCGGGTCAAAAAAATGGAGTATAATAGGCTAATATCTTAATAACTACTGGTCATACATATATTTTACCACCCATCAAATGCAGTTTTGCTAAATATTGCACCATTTTCTTCTTATTAAGTACTCAATATATTTAACTTGCAATACAAGTATCACCAGTACAGTCACACATAAAGGTAACTGATTGGTCATTATGCAACCTAATACTTTAGCTCCCTGTAGAATAATATATGTGTGCCCTTGTCCTTCCAAGCTCCTACAAGAACAACATTCCCTTGATTACAATGTCCAATTCAATTGACATTGTGGTTACAAGGAAGCAGTCCAGCAGTTGTATTATTCAAAACCCTATTTATAATTAATCATACATACCAAAAGCACCATCAGCAGAATGATTAAGACATGAAGATGCAGGTAAAATCTCAGCAGGGACAAAGGCGTTTGATAAAACCTTTACAACATTGTCATAAATCCTCAGTGACATTTAAGACTTATTAGTTTGTAGGAGATACACAAAATGCTTCTGAATATGCCGTAGTAATTACACATATGTCCTGACCTTTTATTTGACACATTTGTCAATTTAATTAATATCTGGGTTTGTGTGTGTGTGACTAGACACTGTGTACTGTGTGATCATACAAATATGATTTATATATGGATAGATATATATATATATTTAAGTATGTAGAAATGCAACGCAGTGGCACAGTAGGTAGTGCAGTTGCCTCACAGCAAGAAGGTTGCTGGTTCGAGCCTTGGCTGGGTCAGTTGGCGTTTCTATGTGGAGTTTGCATGTTCTCCCTGCGTTCGTGTGGGTTTTCTCCGGGTGCTCCGGTTTCCCCCACAGTCCAAAGACACGCAGTACAGGTGAATTGGGTAGGCTAAATTGTCCAAAGTGTATGAGTGTGAATGAGTGTGTGAATAAATGGTTGCGGCTGGAAGGGCATCCGCTGCATAAAAATGTGCTGCGTAAAAACATGCTGGATAAGATGCCGGTTCATTCCGCTGTGGCGAATCCAGATTAAGCCGAAAAGAAAATGAATGAATGAATGAATGAGCATGTATAAATGCACTTTGAGCACAGATACACTGTTAGACCTTACCAGGCTTTTTTACAGTAGAACACTGGCAACACTGTTGCCAGCTACTCACTGTAAAAGTTTGGTTACGGTAAGTAACTGGCAACAGTGTTGCCAGTTAATTACTGAAACTGAACCATTACAGTGAGTGGCTGGCAACAGTGTTGCCAGTTGTTTACTGTAACCGAACCATTGCAGTGAGTAGCTGGCAACAGTGTTGCCAGTTAATTATTGTAATAGAGCAGTAGTGGTAACTAACTGGAAACTGTGTACAGTTAATTACTGTACTGTAGTGTTACAACTCACAGCATTATACTGCATACACAATAGTATGTCAAGGTGTTACTAAAATTAATTAGTATTCTTACCTGTTATTAATTCTTTAAATTAATTAAGTTGTAAACTCTGACAAACTTATTTTATTGTTTTGGCAGCAAACAAATATAAAACAGAAAATGTATAACAAAATTAAGAAATCAGCAGATATAAATATCATCTTACATATTACTGAGAGCCACAGGTCTGCACAGCAAGGCTGCAGTCAAACTAACGTTTAAGCATGCAAAATTCATATGTCATATGGCTCTGCGAAAAGGAGTGGGATTAAACAAAATATTTAGAGATTGAAAAAGCAAGCAACTGGTCCATAATTTTTGTTCAGAGAGGTCATGGTTTGATCCTTGATTAGTCTCAAGCAATCACATGATGTGATTTTGCAGTTCAGAGTTCTCCAAGCTTGAACTTTCCAATGCTGCAAACTGTAAAATTTGTCGCATGAGCTATCATTCCAGGTCTGCAGCATTCACATGCGTATGAATGGAAGTCTAAAGGGAGAAAAGTGCAGTGTGACCGGGACTTTAAGCTGTAACTCTAATTAAACACACCTGATCAAACTAATTAAGGCTTGTTAGAAATCTACAGGTAATGTTGAAGCAGGGTGGGAACTAAACTCTGCTGCCCTGCAGTTCTCCAGGAACTTGGAGTTTGACCCCCATGGTATATAGCAGGGGTGCTTAATCCTGTTCCTGGAGATCTACGTTCCTGCAGATTTCAGTTGCTACCCATATCAAACACACCTGCCTGTAATTATCACGTGTTGTTCAGGTCCTAATTAATTGGTTTAGGTGTGTTTGATATGGATAGCAACTGAAATCTGCAGGAAGGTAGATCTCCAGGAACAGGATTAAGCACCCCTGGTATATAGCATACTTTTAAAGCAACTGCTAACATTTATCACAATCACATATCCAATAAACACACACACACACACACACACACACACAAAGTGCTGCAGTGCTGCAGTGAAATGTGTTACTCTCTCCTCAATGCTGACCATGCAAAAAAAAAAAAAAAACTGAACAGCAAAAAACACAAAATAATTATTTTAAATTTTAAAGTTTTAAATAATTAACAGCTCTGTCAAATCTCAAAAAGTTTAAAATAATTATAGAAAACAAAAATAAAGTTGGCAACACTGAAAAACCAAAGGATCCAATTTTTTATTGTTATAATTATCTCATGACAACAAACTTTTTTTATTGTTTCAAATATAAATTCATAGGTGGAAACACTGCTCTGAAAAATACTTAGCAACAAACTCACAACCTGGGACCGGACAGTGGAGCTTTTGTGTGTGGATGGTTATGTGTATCATGTTTTTGTTATTCCCTGTGATGATGTGCACATGCTACCTTACTGAGATGATGGAATTTAATTTTGGCTTAGTTGCCAGAAAGATACATACAACTGTTAGCATCTGTACATTATGGCAGTGTGCAATATCCAATAAATACATATACTTAAACAAAAGTAATGTAAGAAGTTATATGAGGAGAGGCTAACTAGCTAACAATGTAGCTTTCAAGTACACAGTTCAAGATAACAACAATATAACTTAAAACACAGCCTTATTTTATAAACCCTCAAAAACATTTGAACACATTTTACTTACTCATTGTAGATTCTTATTTAAAGCCTAAAACATATCAGACTCCACATCTGAATTGATAGACAGAGAATAGAGCACACTCAGCAGTAAACAAATCAAACACCTGGCCAGCATTTTCTGAAAACTCTTTTTAACACCTTTGTGTTTAGAATAAGACGGACAGCCTGTGGGAGTGTGTGGTGATGCCTAAATCATTGTTTTTTACAGTTATTTACTGCACAATCTACAGAGTAACAGTGCAGTAATACTAATTAAACACACCTGATCAAACTAAATCTAAAGGTAGTGTGTTGAAGCAGGGCTGGAACTAAATTCTCCTAGGCTGTGGCCTTCCAGGAGTTTGACACCCCTGGTACATAGCATATTTTCAAAGCAACTGCCTACAT